GACAATTTACCAATTGCCATTTCTCGTTTTCAAGAATTAAATGCACCATCTGTAGGTCACAAGACTGTTTCCATAGACTCTTAATCGTTGCTAGGAACGCCATTACTTTTAAATGTCATTGTATTGAATCTTTACAACAACAACAAAAAAAATTGTTGGTAACAAATACATTTTGTTGTTTCTATAGACGCTTTTATCGTTGCTAAGAACGCCATTTTTTATTGTTATTATTATTAAATGTCAAAAGTGTGCTTTTTTTTGTTGGTGAATTAACATCATTAATACGTAATAAGTATTAGTCATATTTCAATTTTTTTGTTAATAAATTGTGAACGCTTCGCATTTCTATAGATGCAATCCGGTTGTTGTAAAGCACATAGTTATAAAACTAATTATGCAAATTTACATAATTTTTTTTTTTTGAGGTTAAAATAGCACGGACGGAAGGTTATCAATCGTAAATCTACCTACTATTAAAATTAAGAGACTAATTAGCAGATTGCATATCTGCATCATTAATCATAGTTGCACGAATCTGTTACATCTTGTTCCATCTTTCTGTTTTAATGCAAGCCAATTTTTTCTTTAACATCTTCAAATGTTACACGATCATCATCATCTGTCATCTGTTTTTTTTTGTTTTGCGCAGATCGTTGACGTTTCGGTTAATTGACGTTGTCCTCTCTCTCTCCATGGCGACGACAGTTGTGTACCGTTGCCACGGTAACTCGTTTTATTGTTCTTAGTTTTACTTTTTTTTCGTTCTTCTGCATTATTTCCAATATTACCGGATGCGATTATCGTATTGAGCGTTTTCGGTTTTAGCATCGCACCCATGGATACCACCATCGTATCCCTTGGTTACGATCATAAAGATGATGATGATGATGATCATCATCAGGTAGTCGTTTAGCTCGGGTTTAGCGTGCGCTTTTGTATTTATAGAGAGGTGGAGGAGATATCCATCCAGTCGGTGTGTGCAGGAGTGTGCGTTTGTGTGAAACGGAACCGGTATTTATATTTAGAATCTAAACTAGTTATGACAGTTCATTCCACCGCGAGAGGAGAAAGAAAAAGAGAGACAGAGAGAGGAGAAAGAGAGAAAAAGGACGATAATCGAGGAGCGTGTGATTAATTATTGCCGCCGCTTCCCTAATTGAGCGCGTTCTCTTAAACGATGAGGGCGGGCGGCTGCGAAAATAAAAATTAAAAGAAAAGAAATTAGTAAAGAAAACTGTTCTTAACAGTTCTTGAAATGACGGGAGGAGATGCAGAAGCGGCAATAACAGTACCAACAAGGAGCATTTGCTTAACGAGTCAATCACTCCATTTGTCGGTCTTTTAAACTGTTCCTCTTCTATTTGCGCGTTTCCTGTCCCACTCAACTTCTTCAAAGAAAAAAGCACTTCTTCAGACTACTACCATGATCTTTGATGATGATGACCTATTGCGTTAGGGCATATCATCTCTCGCCAAATACACTTTTACACGTAGGTCGTCGTCTCGGTCCCCTTTCACTCGCATTCCGCTCATCGTCGACTTCCTTCCTTCCTCTTCGCATTCCATCTTAAAACACGAAAAAAACTACATCTTTCTTCATCCACGTTTCGTCCACGACCAATTGGCAATTGGCAAGAAACGAGCGATTCGCCCATTTCCGCTTCGCAACTGTCGGAAAAAACAAAAACAAAAGAGTTTAAAACAGTGTTTTTCAACGTCATTAGCATAATTTATCGCGTGCTTCGAACCCATCACCGCCTCTCTCTCTTTCTCTCTCTTTCTTTCAAGCAAGTTCCATTTTCTCTTAATTAATATATTGAAACATCCATCGCCTCGGCGCCAACATTCCTCTTCGTCCTCCGCCTTATTGTATTTTGTTTTATTTTTGTTTCTTTTCTTCTAACGCTGTGCTCTATGTTCTTTCTCTCTTTCTCTCTCACTCACTCATTCCTTCCAACGACCTCGCATCCCGAAGATTGCGCAACGGACGAGGCGTATCGCATCCATTGTTGTTGTTGTGTGGCGACTGCAGAATCGCATTCATTAATTGGCGCAATACGCGAGGGGGCGCTTTGAATAAACATTTTTGTTTTTTGTTTTTCGCGCACGCTCGATTCCAAAACCGAATTTCGCGATCCTTGCGCAATTCAACCGTCCACATACTTAATCTATTGTTCACCATATTTTCACGTGGTGATTCGGGAAATTTTCAGTGAAACGCAATCAAGCAAGCAAAGTCATTCGATTGGAAACCTTTGGAGTTTGAATCAATCCGCGCGTAATTAGATTTCCTATATTGAGATTATTTTATCTAGGTATTCAGATCTAGAGTGTCGCAATTAGCTTTTGTTCTGTTCGATTGTAATTCGATTTTTACGGATGTTCGATCAAATTTATTGTACGGTTGCGACATAAAATAATTTGTTAATAGTTTGTTTATGCACTTACTCGTTTGCAGCCACCGCAGACGACAATTTTAAATTGCAATTTAACAGAGAGAAAAAAACTATATTTATTGGAGTCGCGCGAAGGTCGCAAACTGCGAATAAAGTCGGTGCGAAATGTACGGAAAAGAAGACCGCAACAACAACCACAACGACGACGAAAAAATAAGAAACGATGTGCACAAAGTAACGATAATTTCCTTTTTATGCATTACACACACACTATATTAGTATAAAAGTTTTAGCATTTAAGCCGCTCCCTGCAATCGCGTTTACTCTTACTTACCACCTCTTCGTCCTTCCAATGGTTTTTCGCTCGCATCCGAAACACGCGATTCCCCGTCGAGAGATTTCGACGGGCGGACGCGACACGAACCCGCCGACAGTTTTTTCAATTTAAATGTAATTCATCGCCGGGCGCCACCGACTATTTCCTTTTCTTTTGTTTCTTTGCAAACAAGCATCGCGAATCGAAGATGCTATGTTTTTATTGCTTCTCCAATCACGTAATATCTTCTGTTCACGTTTCTCTCTCTCTCTTTCAGTTGTTTCTGCAATTGTTTTGTCGCGTTTCGGAAACGGGAGCGAAACGTGATCGATTTGATTGCGCAATAATCGCCACGTGTAACTGAAAGAGTAAATATATTTTATTGTTGTTTTTTTTTTAAGTGAAACCGCGCTCTCACGTTTTGTTTTTCCCGTATAAATAAATAAATATCACGGAGATGATTCGGTTTGATTGATTCGACGTGCGAATGAAGATGAAGTTAAAAAACAGTCTGTTTTATTCCACAATTGCTTGTAAAGTTCACTTGATTTTTGAGTAAACAAATGAAGTAATAATATTGTAATTACAATCTTCAAACATGGCGTCAATTTTTACTTAACTTAAGATCACTTGATTCTTTTTTTTCTTCTTCAGCAAGTTGACTAGATTCGTTCCACACGTAATTTTCTTTTACATTTAAAGTTTACTTGTTTTTCCTTATACGACGCTATTTCTTTTATATATATTTTTTTTTGTTATTAACATAATCGTAATTCATTTGTTCGGAATTGCATTGTTTTCCCCCATTCGCCTGTTTGATCCAATTGACATTTCATCACGTGTTTTCTGTACTCGATCCTGCAATTGTTTCGGCCTTCTCTTTTTTTATTCAGCAAATTAATAATATTCGCTAATTTTGCTAAAACGTAAATATTTGGATATGTTTCAAGCAACAACCAAAAAGAAGAAAAAAAGAAACCAGAGGCGATTAATCAATCAATCAATCAGTTCGAAAATGCGGCGCAATTAATCGAATGTTTATATTAATTACATCGATTAATCAAACGCGCTGCAATTTTTCAAACAAAAACCGAACGCCAAGAATTACAAACAAAAAAAAAAGGAGAACATCGCACAGGTGGGAAAGCTCCTCAATAAATATTGGCGCTCGTCCAGATCTCGTCCAATTTTCATCTTTTTTTTTTTTTATGATAATATTTATTTTCTCCTCCCGTCTGTCCGTTTATTTTTCCTGCTCAATTTCACGTTTACTTTACTCGCCACTATTTACAAACGGTACTATTCCTCTCGACGCTCACTTTTTTTCGCAGCACTCTTTTTTTTTGCTGATCGTCTTCTTTATTTTCATTTCTTTTTTCTCTCTCGTAACGATTTGTTTGTGTGTACTAACAAACTATTACTACGACGGTGGGGGGGAAAATATTTTCGGTTGCCCATGGCAATAATATTTTGGATACACTGAACTTCCACACTGTTTAGAAAATATCGTCGTCCATCATTTTCGATGTCTACTTCTTCTTCTTATGATTTTGTTTTGTTCGTTTTGACTTTGAACGTTTTAGATCGCAATTGCTTAGAGAATCAGTAAATTCTTGATAACACTTTAATCGATATTATTGAAAAATATTATGAACATAATTCGATCGTTAGTTCTTTGTTCGTTGTTATTTCTAATAACTATTTAATTATTTTATAAGAATATTTTTGTTGCGCGTCTAAATTAATTTAAGTAAAATTATGAAATTCTTCCAAAAGAATTTGTCGATTTTCTAAATTGAAGGTGGTAACCTAGGTAACAAATTTATTGTTTTGGTGGTTGCTATGTGAACTTTGGTTTGTTTATTGAATTTGGTTGTTTGATGGATGGATCGGTAGGAAAGTTACTATCTAAAAATAGGTGGCGGCGGCGATGGTCAGATTAATTGCTGCCAATATAAATAGGGGGAGCGGAGAGGGAGAGGGAGGTAGAGGGATCTGGTGGTATGTTTGAAAGAGTGATTAATTGCGAATCCGTTTTTGCAGAGATTCGCAGACTGCCTGGTGTGTGTGTGTGAGTTGATGTGTACTTTCCCCTCGGTTTCCCTGTCTCCCCTGTCATACAATTTGGAGTTGGCGTGAGGCCAAAGAGCGAAAACAAAACAAAAAAAGAAGAAAATGGTGGTGGTGGTGGTGGTGGAAGAGAGGGAAGGAAGAAGGAAGAGAAGAGAGGTAGTAGTAGGAGGTGGAGATGAGGATGTAGCTAATGGAAGATTATGGTTGTGTTGCAGTTGGTGAGATGATCGCGGCCAGGAAGAAGATGAGACACCTTGGAAGGCTGACTTCGACGTTGCTGGTGTTCAGCTCGTTCCTGTGCTGCGTGCAGTCGGCGCCCGCGAAACCCTTGAACGAGCGCTCCAACGAGTTGACGTGGCAGGCGTGGCTCCTGGTGGACGACCAGAATCAGAACAAGCAGTACGATCCGGACGCCCTCATCCGACGGCGAATCACACCGAAGAGCGTCTTCATAGCGCCCACGTTCAGCCCGGAGGCGTTGCCCGACTGCGCCGACGGTTTCACCGCCGACAACATGGGAAAGTGCGTCAAGATCATCGAGATCGATAAGGACGCCCACCTGGACTTCATCTTGACGCGTCTGAACGAGCAGTTCGGCACGTTCGAGGAGTTCGCCGATTACGAGGACGACACCGGTTCGTCCACGGAGGGTCCATTTAACGTGAAGATTCCGCTGGACGAGACGAACGGGGGCGGCGGCGGCGGATACGACGACGATGATGGTGATACGAACGTGGCGATCGTCGTCGCGCCGACGAACGGCAACTTCGCCGCCCTCGCCAACGACACGCTCAAATTCAAAAGGGGAAACGCGACGGCCGTGGACGCTCCTCTGATCGTCACCAAGATCAATATTGACAACTCGGCGACGGAGGACGAAACACCCACAACGGAAACGATCCCCATCACTACGACGACGACGACGACGACAGAGTCGAGTACAGATGTTGTTGATGTGGACGAAGAGTCCGAGAAGACGACGACGATGTTGAGCGAAGAGGCGGCGGTAGCCGAGACGACGACAGTCGCGCACCAGGAGGAGCAAGCGCTATTCTTCAAGGTGCCGCCGAACGCGTCGAGGCCGCACGAGGAGCCGATGACATCCGAGGACAAGCACACCGAGAACTTTGTGCGCTTCCCCGAATCCACATCCACCAAGACGAAGGCGTTCGAGGAGACGCAGCAGATCATCAGCCAGCTCCTCCCGCACGCCAACGTCAAAAGCAAATACGAGGATCTGAACATCTTCAACGAGTACACGCCGCACAAGACGAACGCGTACAAGAATCGCGACACCGTGCACCAGGATTCGTCGTCTTTGTCGTCGTCATCGTCCACAGTCAACGGTGACGACCCGAAGCGCGTCTTCAACCATCGCAATCGGGACAAGCACTGGCAATTCCCGACAGCCTGGAGGACCGTTCCGCCGCAGAAGCCGCTCGTCCTCCGCTTCAACCAGAACAGCAAACATCACGCCGGCTCCTTCTACCAGCATCACCCCAGGCAGGATCAGGGCGTGTACCGCGAGGTCCCGCCCGAAGACCTCTCCTACATATTCGGATTCAAACGCGCCCTCTCGCACAGATGATCCGCACTGTGAATATAACCCAAGCCCTCCCTAATCAACAAAAAACAAAATAATAATTAAAAATTAAAAAAATAAATACGCGCAACCCCCAAGACGCGCGTGTATGTATGTATTGTATGTAAATCCCCTCTCATCCTCTGTCCTGTAAATATGTAATTTATGACTAATCCAATCTTGCGGACTAACCGGCAGTTTTCTTGCAGGCAAGAGAACCGAAACCACTCGAGATCCCTTAGAAACAAAAACAGTCCTTTTACTAACAAAACTTTGCAGCAAAACGTGTAAATAATCCAAGAAATAATGATAATTTGTGTATTTATTGCTACCTTTGTTACGCTCTGTAAATACTCTATCTATCTCTCGCTCTATTTCTATATATATATATAAATATCTATCTCTCATCAATCGTATAAAGTAATAATAATGATAATTGCTGCAAATCCATGTACAAAATAGCTTTTAGCAGTCGGAAATCAAGTCCTCGCACGAATGTGGAACAACAACAACAACGCAGTGAGCGCCGCTCTGAAATTTGTGAAAGGGAAAAACATTACTATTCTATATAAACACTCTATCTGTGTGGTGTATATGTGTTTGCGCGCTCTAAAGTTCAAATCGTTTCGCAACTTCTAAACACCCAACAAACCAATCATCCCCCTCCAAAAAACGTGCAACTAAAGAAAGATACTACAAATAATGCAACAACAACAATCATCGCATCAAATTATCGTTTATTATTGTTATTATTTATAAGATTTCTATTTAGCGTAGGAATTGTTTAGTATTCGTTTCTTTTTATGTAAATTATAAAGTGTGTGTTTGTGTGTGTGTATAAACGTAGCTAGAGTTAGGCAGTCAACTCGAAATAGTCCCCAGTTTACGATTCTCCAATGGAGAGCTCAGTATTAAAACTTAAGATATATATAAATAAATAAAAAATATATATATACATGTACGAAGAATAAAATCTCGATGTCTTTATATTTGTATTTTATTTTTTTGTAAGAATGTTTCTCTTGTGCCAGTCGAAAGAAAGAAGATAAAATATATATATGAATCGTGTAAGAGTAAAGTCGATACTCATCTGTCCACATCTTCCTTCCTTACAAACCTCTTTTCTTTCCTTCCAAAGCCCACTTTATATATATATATATATTTAATCCAGCCATGTTTACCGAGAGGCGAGCGCTCTCTCATCTCTTCAATTGTTATGATTGCGAGATCGGTCGTAATTTACTCTTTTTTTCTCAATTTCTTTCCTCTCCTGGCTCTCGGCCAGACCAGAAAACCGAATTTCTCGTTCATCGTCAAGTTCATCATCACCAACAACGATGATCTTCCAAAATAATCCTGCTCCAGTTTCGCGCCAAAGTTTTTTTTTATTATTTATTAAATCGCAGAATTTAGTTCAGTAGGTTGCATAAGCTCAAAAGAGAAAAAAACAAACTTTTAAACTTCTTTTGTTGTTTTTTTTTATATATACTGACGTTTGCGGTAATTTTCGATTATAATTTGATTATATTAAAACTAAAGATATTATAAATAAATAAGTAGGCTTATTGATAAGGTCATGGTTGTATATTTAATACGTGCATTTGATGATCTCATTTAGGCGTGTTTATCGAGTAATTAAATTAAGAGGCGAAGATGCGAAAAGAAAAAGTACAGAGTTGCTGCCATCTATCGGTCGTTTATTGAAATTACGGAACCGCGGTTCTATCGAAAGATGCGTAATAGAAGTCCGCTTCTGATGTAATCAAAAAATAACTTAACTGAAATTAAAGGTTAATGAAAATGTGTGATACTTTGGTGTCGAATACGACCAAAGTATCTTCTGCTTGTCGTAAGAGGCGACCGAAAGAAGAGACGTTGCGTCGCGGGTTGCCTGCGTCTCGGTTTTTGAATGAGCGTCGCCGACTCACTTGGATCAATTAATTACGCGAGACCGGCGGATGCGAATTGATTAGCACCAATCGGAGCGTGACGATAACAGAACGCGGGTTGCATACGGATCGGTGTTTACTCTTCGCACAAGGTCCGGTCATATGTTTCCATTGTCGGCCTTTTAATTGACCCCCATAACCTAGAAATTAAAGGTCCAGTTTGAATTTGAATCTGTTCGAGACGGGGTGAGTTATTTCTTTACGATTGTTGAGAAATTTTATTTGATCTATATCCCCTCCAACAGGTATATGAGATAAATGCTGCTGAGTCCAATGATTAAAAGGTTCTTCTCGACTGGTGGTGTCCACCTGAAGCAAGTCACCTTCCGGAATCTCAGGGGGAAGAAGGTCAGCTCGCAGCAGTGGCTCGCCAGGCAGCTGACGGATCCGTACATAGAGAAGGCTCGTATGATGAATTTCAGGTTTCTTATTGTTGCGCCGAGGGACGTTTTGGTGTTGATTTCTCTGTTGCACACTTGCAGATGTCGGAGTGCCTTCAAGTTGACTGAAATAGATGACAGGTTCAGGATACTGCAGCCCGGATTCAACGTGATCGATTGCGGGGCTGCGCCCGGTTCGTGGACGCAGGTGGCTGTGAACAGAGTGAACGCCAATGGGAAGAAGCATGACGATCGGAGAGGGAAGGTGATCAGTGTGGACAGAAATAACTTTCATCCCATCGATGTACGTCTGATCCATTGCGTTTCGTTCGTGTTTTTCTTTTTTTATTATTATTACTACTATGTGTTGTAGGGGGCTATAATATTGGGCAATTCGGACTTCACGAGCGCCGAGACGCAGGAGAAGATAAAGGTGTACTTGGGGCAGGAGCGCGTCGACGTCGTCCTCTCGGATATGGCACCTAATGCGACCGGCATCCGCGAGATGGACGTGGAGAACATCCTGAACCTGTGCTACAGCACGCTTCGATTCGCGCTGCAGGTGTCGCGCACCGGAGCGTCTCTGATCGTGAAGCTGTGGCAGTGCAAGGAGTCCAAGCAGCTGGAGGACGACATTTCGAAGTACTACGAGGACGTCCGCGTGATGAAACCGAACGCCAGCCGGACGGACAGCGCGGAGATATTTCTGATGGCTAGGGAGTTCAAAGGGGTGGTTGCACCATGACCGGCAGTAGTAGTAGTAGTGTATAAATATTCTATTCATTAATTATCTCCACAATTCTCTGATAAACATTCTCTTCCCTTTTCTCTTCTCTCACGCATACACACTTTTTCTTTTCTCTCCTTAAACAAAAAAGAAACGAAAAAAAAAAAAAAGGAAAAACAAATGAACATAAATAAAAAATAGTATTTTTTTTTTGTTGTTGCCGTCTTCTTCAGTAAAACACGAGCGCCGTTTCATGTCAGCTCTCCTCGCTCAGGTAGGACGTGGCGATCCTCTCCAGGTCGTCCAGGCTGAGGCTCTCGACCTTCGCGGAGAAGTCCCTCATGAACTCGTCGAGGATCATCTTCGTCTGCTCCTGACTGTAGTACTTCATCAGGAAACGGTCGAGCAGCAGATGCAGCGACTCCGGCTTCTTCACGATCAGATGCACCTTGGCCCCATCCTTGATCTTCGGATAGAAATCCAGAGACTTCTCGTCCACCAGAGTTTTACCCATGTAGACCAACGTCTGCTGCGATGCGGCCACCTTCAACTCCATCTCGATTTTCTTCTTCAGCTCGACGATCTTCGCTCTCTCGGACACCTCCACCACGCAACCGTCGCCTCGCAACACTTTCACGAAAATCTTCATATCGTCCCAGCAACAGAACAACAACAACAACAACAAAAAAAACAACAACTCGTGCTGTATATCAGGTGGGCAATATTTATTTATTAACCCCTTCAAACCAAACACACACTGAAACCTCCTCTCCTCTGAACCGCAATTCAATCGCGTTTTTGACGTTCCGCTGCAAACTTCAACTCTGATGAACCTTCAACTTCATCCTACCCAAACCACAATCAAACATTGGCCACCCTGAATTCACCAAACAACCCCTCAATCCCCAAAAAAAAAACGCATCATCTCAATAATAAAAAAAAACATCGAATCAAATTTCAATTACTTCTCTCAATCTATTTCAAATGATCAACAACATTCCATAATACACAGATTGCCAATCCTTTCAAAATTTACTAGTTCCACTGAATCGTATTAAACATTTGTTTCTTTGCAGTTGGCACCAATTGGATTCAACTCGATTGACAGATCCGATAAAAATAAAGGAATCGCGTTAAACAACCTTTGCACATCGATCATTTATTTACTAATCTACGATCATTATCATCGGTGAGTAAATACAAATTATAGTAACGTTGTTAATTCTTAATTGATTTGTACTTATGTTGCAAATAAACGCAATTCACAAGTCACTTTTGTTGAGTGCACTTTGAATTTCCAATTCTCGCAATTCATTTATTTGTTTTCGTTTTTCCTTCAGATCTCGCTGCGGAATTACGCCGTTTGGTCAGCTCATTGGCATTGTTTTAACGTGAGTACAAAATAAACCCAACAAAACAACAACAAAAAAGAAGAAACTTAAACAAGTATTTTGTTTCTTTGCACAACCTACTTTTCGTCGAATTGACATTGACATATAAAAATGTTGAATAATTGATTTTGGTCACTTCAATTTATTACTCAAAAGTGGTTTTTATTGAAGGTTTAATGATGTTAAATTAATTATTCATTATTTTTTCTTTTGATTTGGATTTTCGGTAGATTCCAATTGGCAGCAATGCAAAAAATTCGAGCCAATCGCGTGAAAAAGTAAAAGTTTTACCTTTTTTTTATATAATATCAATGCATATTTATAATTATCGAAAGCAAAACTAATTCAGATACGCAATTGTATTGTGTTGTTAATATAAACAGAACAATGTTTATTTCGTTTCCATGATAACTCTTATCGTTATGGAAACCTGTTGGATTTAGTTTCATTGGTTTTGAATTTGCCGTTTCTTTTTAGTTGTGCAAATGAGTTAAATTTAAAGATTATAACTTGTTCAGGAATGCAACTCATAAATTTTAATTAATAGCGTGCATCTGTGACCTTGGTATACTGTTGTTTCCTGTTTCGAAAGTCAAATTGATGCTGTTGCTCATTTATAATTTGAGCATTCGATAAAAGTCCGGTTGAGGTAACTGCAGATTTTGAAGGTATTTTGCGCTAAGTGATTTTTGTGTTTTGTTAATAGTTTTTTTTTATTGATTAGATTCTAATTGGTGTTTGTGTTTCAGTTGTTGAAGCAACATGAACGAGAAAGTGACGAAGGCGAGGGCCGCCTACATGGCGGGAAAGACACGGCCGCTTTGGTTCAGGAAGCAACAGCTGAAATCGCTGATGAGGATGTACGAGGAGAACATGGAGGAGATATGCACGGCGATCTACAAGGATCTACGTAAGTGCCGTACCGAGGTGATGGCCATGGAGATAAAACTGGCGATGAACGATGTGAAGGATATGCTGGCCAATATGGACAAGTGGGCCGGGACAGAGACACCGGCCAGGAGCTTCCTGAACTGGCTGGACAGTACGTATATACTGAAGGATCCGTACGGCGTGGTGCTCATCGTTGGCGCCTGGAATTATCCGATTCAGCTGTTGATGGTGCCGGTGGCTGGCGCCATCGCCGCCGGGAACTGCGTCATCATCAAGCCCTCCGAATTGGCTCCGGCCACCGCGGAGTTCCTCGAGAAGACCATCCCGAAGTACCTGAACAACGATTGCTACTGCGTGATCAACGGCGGTATCCCGGAGACGACGAAGCTGTTGCAGGAGAAGTTTGATTACATCTTCTACACCGGCAGTTCGCAGGTGGGGAAGATCATACACAGAGCGGCCAACGAGAATCTGACGCCCGTCACGTTGGAGCTGGGCGGTAAGAGTCCGGTCTACATAGACAAGACCGTCGATATGGATTTGGCTGTGACACGGCTGCTCTGGGGAAAGTTCGTGAACATGGGTCAAACGTGCATCGCACCCGACTTCGTGCTGTGCACTCCGGAGGTGGAGCGCGAGATCCTGGCGAGGGCGCCCAAGATCATCGAGAAGTTTTACGGTAAGAATCCGCAGGATTCTCCGGATCTGTCGAGGATGGTGAACGAGCGACACTTCAAGCGCGTGGCGAATCTGCTGCAGTCGGGAAAAGTAGCCTACGGCGGTCACATGGACGCCAAGGACAAGTACATAAGTCCGACTATTCTGACGCAGATCAAAGCTTCGGATCCTGTAATGCAAGAGGAGATCTTCGGGCCGGTACTGCCCATAGTCAACGTCAACTCGTTGGACGAAGCGATCGACTACATCAACAGCATGGAAAAACCGTTGGCTCTGTACATCTTCTCAAAGTCGGAGTCGACGGTGTGGCGGATGATGGAGTGCACGTCCAGCGGCAGCGTCTGCGTCAACGACACGATCATGCAGATCGTCGCCGACAATCTGCCATTTGGGGGCGTCGGCAACAGCGGCATGGGCAAGTACCACGGCCGCGAGACCTTCGACACGTTCACGCACAAGAAGAGTTGCCTCTACAAGAATTTCAATTCAATAGGCGAGGCCCTCTCCTCTTGCAGGTATCCTCCTTACTCTCAAAAGAAACTGGGTACTCTCCTCAAGTTGATAGACCGCAGACCGGACCTTCCCTCGATGGGTTTCCTCCGGTATGTCGCCGCTTTCGGTCTGGGCTTTCTCGCCTCCATCTATTATCAGCAGCACACGCAACACTAAAATGATAGCATTTATTTCCTTGATGACATCTCAGCAAATAGTATTCTTCGCTTTTTCTACTTTAATATCTATACATTAGATTGTAAGCAAAAATGAATTTATTAACTATAGAATAAATTTGAATAAAACATAATTATTAATCGTCAATATACACTGAATTTGCATCCTTCCTGCCAGTAATATATTAACGATATAAATCCTTTTAGAATGAATTTCACGTACATTTGGTTGCCTATAGAAATGTTATAATAATATTTGAAATAATTTCTTGCGAATAATAACATTTACGTTTATTGTTAATTTTATAAGTAGAAAATTACAATCATATTAATGGCTATGTACATTTTATGTTACAGTGTGTCAATCAGATGACGTTATTGATGTACTTGAAGAGGAAGGCTGAACCGAGACCCATGAAGAAGAGGGCGGCATGCATGAGATACCTGAACGAGATGCCCTCTCTGCGTTTGAGCGCCGTCGACAGGAACTTCATCTTTTTCTCCGTGTACGGCGGATACCTGCTCGTCATCAGCATCTCGCCGAACTTGTTCAGACTTCTGATCATCGTACTTTTCTTGTGGCTGAACGTGTCGAAGGTGGACTTGCCGTGGTAGGCGCCCATGCCGCTGCTGCCGACGCCCCCAAATGGAAGCGACTCGACGGTCAGATGCATAATGGTGTCGTTGACGCAGACACCGCCCGCGGACACCTGCGACAGGATCGACTTCACCTTCTTGTTGTCGTTGGAGAAGACGTACAGTGCGAGCGGTTTCTCCCCTTTGTTGATGAACGCGATCGCCTCGGACACGTCGGATACGGTGATGATGGGCAGGATCGGCCCGAAGATCTCCTCCTGCATGAGCGCATCGTCGGGCTTCACGTCCACAACGACGGTCGGGGAGATGAACTTTTCGTTCGAATCGAATTCACCACCTTTGGAAATAATTGGTAAGTAATTTTTTTTATAAAAAAAAAAATGTATATATTTACCTATAGCGATGTTTGCGTTTTTCAGCAGTTTGGTGACTCGCTTGAAGTGGTTCTCGTTGACGATCCTGCAGAGATCGGGCGAATCCTTGATGGAGTTGCCGTACCATTCGGCGAGGATCTTCTTGCCCTCCGCGACGAATCTGTCGCTCGCCTGTTTCGAGCACAACAGGTAATCCGGAGCTATGCATGTTTGACCGGCGTTCACGCATTTTCCCCACAGGATGCGTTTAGTCGCGATCGTCATGTCGACGTCGTCGTCGAGGAAGACGGGACTCTTGCCACCCAACTCGAGCGTCACCGGCGTCAGATACTTGTTGGCCGCGGCGTGCACGATCCTCCCGACGTTCGTCGATCCGGTGTAGAAGATGTAATCGAAGCGCTCTTTCAGCAATTCCGTCGTCTCTGCGACACCGCCCAAGTAGACGTGGTAGCATTCGTTATCCAGATACTTTGGTAAGTTTTCCTTGATGAAATTCGCCGTTTCAGGCGATACCTCGGACGGTTTGACGATCGCGCAGTTGCCGGCCGCGATCGCTCCTGCAAGAGGAAGCAGACTGAGCTGCAGCGGGTAGTTCCAGGCGCCGATGATGAGCGCGACGCCGTACGGCTCGGAGATGATCTGCACGTCGTCCATGGCGTTGACGAGCGGCTTTTCCGGCTTCGACGGTTTCGCCCAGTCGCGGTACTCCGCGATCACGCCCTCCAAATCGTTGATCAGATAGTTGATTTCGGTCAGGTAAGATTCCTGCTTGCTCTTCCTCAGATCCTTGTCGAGGACAGTAAGCATCTTCGACGTGTTCTCCTTGTAGAATCGCAGCAGCGCTTCCAGCTGCTTCTGTCTGAAGTCCAGAGACTTGGTGGTTCCCTTGAGGAAGGCGGTTCGCGCCCTCTGCACGATTTCCTTGGCCGACATCTGCAACGGAACGTACGTATTTTCAATATATTTTTAACTCGCGATAACCCTGTCAGATGACCTTTCCTTTGTCTCTATGGTAATCATACGTGTTGAATGACTATACTCGTTCCGTCAATATTAATTCAAATCAAAGTGAACTTTGATTTTCAACTAAATATTATTACTTCATTATCGCAGATAGCGTTCATACAAATGAATAATTTAATTGATATTCGTAGCTCAAATTATTGTTTTTAATGATCGTACAATTAAATATCACAACCAATTATAATTTGTCGTAATAGATTTGCTTACTTTCCATGTGGAAATTAATTTGTACAATACTTTTTCTTAAATATTTAATATTGGCGAATGTTCGGGTAAAATCTCAGCACGTTGTGAAACAAATCGAGAACAATTGTTTTACTATTATATCAAATCAAGTAATCCATGATATCATATGGCTGATTAGAAATGTGAGCACTCATCGTCGTAGATAGTGAACTAACTGGAACACGTCGAGTATTATCGAATGGAAACATCCATTACAGGTATATACTTAATTTTCGGGACATTTAAAGCAAATTATCCTCGTTAACGTTTAATTGCGTGTCTTAAAAACGAGTTTGTCTACAACACAAACACACATTCGTTTAGTCACGCACATCAAGTTTTTTTTTATTTGTTTTTGCACGTGTGCTCTTCTCTCACGACGTAACATCAATTTACAAACGAACAGAACAATAAAAAAAAACTGCATTTCATTGTGTCACTTAGTTTTTCGATCGCACGCAAAAGTGAATTGAATTTCGATGTTTTTTTTTTTGTAAATAATTATGAAATTTGTGTTTTCTTAATGTCACTTTTTGAAACCTTGAATCGTTTCGAAAGGACGGAAATGCAAGCGCGCCTTCATTGTTTCTTTTTCCTTCGCTCACTTTGATCGATTTATTTATAATTGCATACCAAAAGAAATAAAAGCGAACAAAAACAAAAACGAAACTTGTTAACCTACCTACTTGTTTTATTATAATTTTCCAATACGACAAATTGATTGGAAAATTGTTTTAAAAAAATTCTTCCTTTTCTTTTTCCTCTTGTATACATAATGTAGTGTTTCATTTACCTCGACTTTTGAGCCTGTTTTTTTTTTAACATTTATTTACTTGCAAAGTCAAAGTTTATTTTTGATTCGTCTAATCTCGATTGTGTTTTGTTTTGTTTCAGCGGCGTCGTGGAAATGTACTGAGTTTGTTTTTCTTTCACTTGAACGAGAAAGAACAAATTTTCAAAACTTCCAGCAAAAATCTAAACACTCGACGCTCTACGAGATTAGCCGTGAGTATTTATAGAATGCACGCCTTGTTCAATGGTGGGCCATGAAATATACTTACAGAATTGATGTTCGCTTTTTTGTTTCAGATTAACTTAGCAACCGGATTTATGTTTATTTTAATTTGCAAATGGAGGAAAAATGGAATTTCAATTGTTTTGCCGTCAACTGTTTCTCAAGGTAAATTATTTATTTTTTTTAAAATTATTATTACGCAATTTTTCGCTCAGCAATGATCTGGATGAAATTCTCTATGATAGACTTACATTTTCTGATTAGTTTGTGCGTAAAAATCTTCTTAAATTCCTATTTTTTTGTTTTTGGCTTTTGATGAATGCAACGATCCGCGTTCACTCCGAACTAGATTAGTTAAGTGTATTATTAATAAGTGGTAGGTCGTGTCGCTTCGCACTTACTAAACATTCGTTACATCCGCTATGCATTTATGTAGGGACTCGCGCACAATACGGCGAAGCCGACCTTTACCCTAGTCTCCTCTTATCAACATCGCGAACGGCAGCGCCGCCGTATTCAAACAAATGAAGGCGACTGCTTGATGTTGATGATGATAATAAGAATGTGTAACGCGGTCTATTTCCGTCCGGATGATTCGAATTTCGCGGGTTCGGATTGTCATGGTAACAAGATGACGGACGTCAATGCCGGTTGCGACAATTTCACGGTTATTTCGTATGAACGCGCTTTTACGCTCCGTCAATTGAATTCGATTATTTCTATTATATTAATTTTGTTTTGCCTGGTAATTGCACATTGTACATGCACGTCGTTAATTATTTGATAATAGCAAACGAAATTATAGGTTTCTATTCATTAAACACGATCATTTATACATACTTGTTTTTGTACTTAATGCAATTGTTTAGTGACTCGTCATTATTCTATCCATTATAGATAGTGAGAAAATCACCGCATTCTAGAATGTTTATTTTTAAAAACACTGCTTTTTTAACGTTTTTTTTTCAAATTTAAACGCCAATTACAGCCAAACGGCTAAAATCACAGTAATATACTTGCTAGATTCCCCAAACATT